CTTAAGGGGTCAGCAAGAAACTATATATCAGTTCTATGCAGAACAACTACATGGGGTTGGTATTGATTTTCTCGTATTTAGGGTAGAACGTCACTATTACGTTGCTTTACGCAAAATACCTTCACTCCTCAATATAATATGCTAAATGGTTTCGCAATTTTCATTCCACAATTAAATATAAAAACGAAAAATGATAACACAACCTGAGTGCAGTTTCACAACGTTTCTATTTTATTTAAGTATTTCCCTGACTTTTTTCTGACTACCCTTAAAAAATCTCCACTTTTTCTCATTCTAGTAATAACTTCAATTCTAAATTTATCCAAAATTCAAATATACTCCAAAGTTTTAGTTAACATTACCAACATTAAAAACAACTTAAAAATATAAAATGTACTTCAATTAAATTTGTCAAAATTTCCAATTAATTGCAAATTAAAATTTAATATTTTAAAATTATTTATGCGATTTAACTATCTGCAACAAATTTTAATTACCAGTTTTCAAACGACTAATTTTTTATAGAATTTCGAAATTAAAGTATTAAAAACTTGAATAATATTTGTTAAACAAATATTTATATATTTATTTTTCCACAGTAATTACAACTTTAAATAATTTTAATTTTTAAATCAATTCTTGTTAGAATTTTCTACGAAAATTCAATTATTTATATGCCAAAATAAATAATTGATTGAATAACTATTTATTTCTTAATAAATTGAATTCTTATAAAGAATTTCATCAAAGATTTTATAAATAACTGAATTCTAACAACGAATGTTATTAAAATTTTTTTAAATAATTTAAATATTATGAAAAATTTTATTATTTGTAAAAATAATTGAAATCATGCAAAGAATTTTATTATTTACGAAAATAATTGAAATTTCTGTAAAGAATATTATTAAATTTTTCTTAAATAATTGAATTCATACACAAAATTTTATTAAAATTTATGAAAATAATTAAATAGTTATAAAAAAATTCTATTAAAATTTTTCAAATTTTTGACTTGAGAATTCATTTATTTAAACAACAATAATAAATATTTGTTTCAATTATTGATTATTTCTTAAAATTAAATTTTTGAAATAAATTTTATCAAAATATTATTAACATTTTTAAAAATAATTTAATTATTTCTAAGAATTTTAATATAATTTTTATTGAATGTTTTAAAAATAATTAAATTCTATTGTGGAATTAAATTATAATTGTATTCAAAATAAATATAATGTAAATGAATTATATAATTGAATTATATATCAAATAATTGAATTTCACAGAAGCATTTTATTAAAAATTTTATTTAATAATTGAATTCTTTTGTGAAGTTTTATTAAAATTCATATTTATTAGAAATATTAAAAATAATTGAATTCTTGCAACGAATATTGTGTAAATTTTTTTTAAATAATTGAATTCCTGCTGATAATTTTATTATTTATAAAAATAATTGAATTTTTTGTGAAAAATTTTATTCTTTGTGAAAATAATTGAATTCTTGCAACGAATTTCATTAAATTGTTAAATTTTATTAAAAATATTAAAAATAATTGAATTCTTGCAACGAATTTTATTAAACTTCTATTAAATAATTGAATTCCTGTGGATAATTTTATTATTTATAAAAATTGAAGAAAAAAAAATTGAATTCTTGCGAAAAATATTATTAAAATAATTTAATTTTTGTGTAAAATTTTATTCTTTGTAAAAAGAATTGAATTCTTGCAACGACTTTAATTAAATTGTTTTATAAATAATTGAATTCTTGTGGGAAATTTTTATTGTTTGTAAAAATAATTGAATTCTTGTAAAAAATTTCATTTGTGAAAATAATTCAATTATTGCGAAAAATTTAATTAAAATAATTTAATTTTTGTGAAAAATTTCATTTTTTGTGAAAATAATTGAATTCTTGCAACGAATTTTATAAAATTGTTTTTTATATAATTTAATTCTTGTGGAAAATTTTATTGTTTACAAAAATAATTGAATTCATGTGAAAAATTCCATTTGTGAAAATAATTCATTTATGAAAAATTTTATTATATCTGGAAATAAAATTTACAAAAAAGATTATATAGACACTGAAATCATAATTATAGTAAAACGTTTTTTCTCAACTATTTCATTGTTCTTTCAAATGAAAAATCGTTTCGGAACTTTTTTATTTCACGCTCATTTTTTTTTTTTTTTTTTTTTTTTTGATGAAGGATTAAAAGGCACGATAAGTTATTGCGCAGTTTTTCGAGCCATCATCGTAATTAACTAACCATATAAAGCCTAACTGGGAAATTGGATTTCAAAATAAAATATTTCAAACGGAATCTGTTATTTTATTTCAATTTGAAAACAATTATTTTTCTTTCTCTGAATAATTCCTACACAAATAAATACGACTATGAATTTTATTTCGATTAGTCAAATTAATAATTAACTATACATTAAAAGTGAATATCACAATATTATTTTTCTTCGACTCCAAGAGAATAGTTTCGAAAAAAAATCAAGGTCCTTTAAATACTATATCCATTTATCAAAGAAAAATAAGCTTCTTCAAAAAAAATTTTTTCTCACCTCCAACTGATTAAATAAACCCAAATTAAAAAATTTATAATTTTATTTAAATTGAATCTGATAAGAGAAATTAAATTGAATTATTCAAATACAGAAATTATACAAGAGACGACATGGAATTGTAAAATAATTTTACGATTTGCAATGAAATGAGGAATGTAGGTATGTATATATAGATTATATCATTAAACTGATAATTGCTTACTCATGCATGTGAACGATGATTAACGTTGTGGGATTTTTTTTCTTTTTCTCAATTAGCTATATATAAGCCAAGTCGCAGTTTAGTTTACATATTACGGGCAAGAGAGTGTGGCATTTGAAATGTATAATTTAAGAGCGCGCGAATAAGCATTAAAAGACCAAGGGGGAAATATAAAGTCGAATGAGTTTCAATTGTGCGAACTCTCATTTGGGTCCCACACGTTGGCAACGATAATTACATGTCCGGCGCGCAACAAAGTAGTTATTGCGTAACTATTAATTATACAGCATATATATATAGGTGGTGTGGCTATTCTTATATTGACAAACCCATATTATGAATTAATCGAGTTTCGCGTATGATTAAAGATCGACAATCTTTTCTTCGCATTATTAAAAGTTTTCGATATTCCTGTGCGCGATCACAACCGTCAGGTCATATGATTAATTATACACTATTGGGGAAGGTCACGTGTGGCAGACACGACATTTTTGCACGCATTCTTTCTCTATATTTATCATTTTAAAAACATGAACCGAAACCAAGAAATTAAAAAATATCCTCACAGAAAAAATTGCCAATTTCATTAATTTTTTTCTTCAAAATATTTGTTCCACTTTTGAAAAATTTTACATATTTCTGTTTTCCGTTTTTTACGGAATTATCCATATAATTTAAATTCTAAATTATAAATTCTATACATAAATAAATTACTGTTTATTAGTAAAATTTACTAATTTAAAAACAAAAAATCATTCACTGATTGAAATTACCAAACATTTTTACTATAATTAAAATAAATAATTCAAATTTAAAGCTAAATTTATGTTTTTAATTATAAAATAATACATTTTTAATTAAGGTCAGTGAAGCTCACAACGTTTATGATCAACGTTTGAAAAAAAAATTGTTTTTAAGTAGAAAACAATGAAATTTTTTATTAACAAATTTTTCAAAAATTAACTATAACTACAATCTTCGTATTGTATTAAAAATAGATAAATTCTTATAACCAACTTTTATCAAAATTATTAAAAATAATTGATTTTTTATAGTATTTTACAAAAATTTTTTAAATAATTAATTTCTTTCAAATATAATGTAATGAAAATTATATTTCAAATATTTGAATTTCACTGAAGCATTTTATTAAAATTTTTATTTAATAATTAAATTCTTTTGTGAAATTTTATTAAAATAGTAAAGGTATTAAAAATAATTGAATTCTTGCAAAAAATTTTATATACAATTGAATTCTTACAACGAATTTTATTAAATTTCTATTAAATAATTGAATTCCTGCGGATAATTTTATTTTTATAAAAATAAGTGAATTCTTGGGAAAAATTTTATTAAAATAATTGAATTTTTTTTGAAAAATTTTATTTTTTGTGAAAATAATTGAATTTTTGTGAAAAATTTTATTCTTTGTGAAAATAATTGAATTCTTGCAACGAATTTTATTAAATTGTTTTATAAGTAATTGAATTCTTGTGGGAAATTATATTATTTGTAAAAATAATTGAATTCTTGTAAAAAATTTCATTTGTGAAAATAATTTAATTCTTGCGAAAAATTTTATTAAAATAATTAATAAATAATTGAATTTTTGTGGAAAATGTTATTATTTGTGAAAACAATTAACGTTGTGAATTTCACCATAGTTTTTATTTTGTAAAAAGAAATAAAATAAATAAACTTGTATTTTAATTATAAAAAAATATAGTTCTATTTCGTTTATAAAAACAAATAAATAAAATTCGATTTGCAATTATTTTTAATTCAATTAAGTTAAAATTATATAATTATAATTATTAAAAAAAAAAACGAAAACCAAAACTTATATAAAAAACCGAAATTATATCAAAACGGAAATATAAATTATATAAATATAAATAATTCAGATCAAGTTGAATGAAACTGTCAGAAATCGTTTTGCTTTCAGAAATTGCATATTATCGACTTAAATTTAATTTTTCAATTGTTTAATTTTAATGCTATTCGTTCATTCAAATGACATTGCAAATATGTCAGAATGACAAAAAAAAGTTCATTTCCCTCATTATTAAATTAACCACCCAGATCTCTATAACTTTTTTTTAATAAAAAATGCTTAATTAAAAATTGATTTACAGTTTATAAGATATTCAAATTGATAAAGAATTCAAATTCATAAAAAATTGATGCAAATTTATAAAAAGAAACCACTTACCTTAATGTGATAGGAGTTCAATTTCGTTCTCGGCAAGCTGTTGAAAGCGCTGAAGTCCAAACGACGAGAGAAGATACCATTTGCTCCGCAGCTTTGTCTGCAAACAAAATTTTACATTATAAAAGAATTCAATTTTTTTACCATAATTTAAGTAATTTTACATTTATATGTAAAATATTTACACAATAAATTTGATATTTATGTGAAAATCTTTTAATAACTTAGTTATTAATATTTAAATCTACATATTAAAATTCTATGCTTGAAAAGTGTCTTGAAATATTTATATTCTATAAAAATAATACCCATTTGGTAAAATCTATTCTGAATTAAAAAAAAATAATTTATTTGGAAATTTAATTTTCCAACGTTGTACAAGAAATATAATTGCGACAGTGAACAGTTTGTATTAAAAGGAAAACTTTTTTTATTTTTATAGCTATTTTAACAGATTCTTTCAAAATAAATAATAATATGTTTCTTTTTCTTGGTAAAAAAGAAGAAGTAAAAAATTAATTTAATATATTGAAAAAAGAATTTAAAAATAGCAATAAAATTAGAATAAAATTTAAAAAATAACGATAAAATAAAAATAAAATAATAAAATTAAATGGAAAAATAAAACAACAAAATAAAATGGAAAAAATTAAAAAAGAAGAAAATAAAAAATAAAAAGAAATACAATTGAAATGGAATTAAAACTTTATGCCTAAGAATTTTTTTTTTTTTCTTATTTGTACATTTTTCTAATTTTCTCTAATTTATTCCTGTGACATTGAGATTTAAAACTTACGTTTCCTAATTACTTTTCAAAACTCTTTAAGTATCGGTTGAAGGAAAATAAAATAGAGTTCTTGAATTATGAAATTTGAGATTTTTTTATGCCTTTTAAGCATATGTATAACTAGGCGCCTATTCATCTCAAATTTCAAAAGAACTAATAAACCAAGTTTACTTAAATAAATACCCAGAATTTAAAATCGAAACGTAAACAAAAATATCCAATATTTCAAATTTAATGCATTTTTTAAAATTCATTGACATTAATAAAAAAACAAAATTTGTTTATTCTTTTACGAGCATTTAAAAAAAACTAATTTTATACCAACTACTTCTTTAATTTAAGAATAGTAATTTTCCTCACGTATTTTAATATTCCCAGGTGAGAACTGACGGTGGATTCAGGCTTTACGGAACCTTCGTTGAGGCTTGGTCAACATTGATCAAGCCTTGGTGGGACGGCGGAACGAAGGTTGTTTCTAGCTATAATGTAACACTTATTTAAGACTGACGCTCCAGTCCTTGTTGAAGATTCGCGTTCAATGTTCAATCAATGCTGCGGAACCCTAATGCAGGACTGAAACAAGGCTGCTTCCACTGTTCCCAAATTTACGCGTCTCTCGCGCCCATTCAATATAATACGAATATATGAATTGTATATAATATTAATAATAATAATAATTATTATTATAATAGTAATGAATATTATTGTTATTATTTTTATTCATATTATATGCGTTTGTTAATTTAATGGCATTAAGTTACTATTATAATAATTATATTATTTTCATATAAATAATATATTACTAACAGTAAATGTCATTTAAAATAGTAATATTAAAAAAATAATTTTAGTAAAAGAAAACAATTTTTCTGTTAATCGGTACATTTTTTTCTCGATTTTTCAGCAGACTTTTTAATATTATTTGCAAACATATTCACATTTTTTATTCACAACACAACACACAAGTTTATTATTATATATAAACGCTTAAAACAAAGAATGAAAAATATTCGCTCGCATGTGGGATCGAAACTCACGTACCCCGCCCCTAACGCATACCGGAAGTTCTCAACGCACGCATTTAAACCGCTCGGCCACAGAAGGCTGGAAGGCACCTCGCCTAATCTACTATTTCAATGCCAGCGCCGTATATTCTGTATATACGGCGCGTCACTCAATATTTGTTGAGCATGGGACACCAATGTTCGTCCCATGCTCGATTCAAGACTCGGTCAATCTTGATACAGTATTCACTTTCTTTATTACCGTGTGCACTGAACAATATTAAATATAAATATTTATAAATTATTTAATATTAAAATATTTTTTATGATAATTTTATAAGTTAAATTATATATATTATTTTTTTTCTTGTACAGTGTCAAATTATTATTTTCAAAGATATTTATCTTTGAAAAATTATGACTGTTTATCTGAAAAATTATTAGTGAAAAAAATGTTTATTAGGTAGTGATAAATATTTATGCTTAGTAGTTTTTACACTAGGATTAACTGTTTAGTAAATATTATCAAAAAAATATTTTTTAGCAAACACGCGCAGCTAAACACAAATAACCTTGAAACTCCAGCATTACCAACTCAACTCTTGAGTTGGCAATGCTAAAGTCTCAAGGTTATTTGCATTTAGTCGCACGCGTTTGACAAAAAATAGTTTTTTGATAATATTTACTAAACAGTTGATCCTAGTGTACAACTACTAGGCATAAATATTTATTACACACTAATGAACATTTTTTTACTGAAAATTTTTCAGACAAACGAAACTTTTGGACTTTGAAAACAATAATTTGACACTGAGCAACAAAAAAAAGTAATATATAATTTAACTTTACTTATATGAATCTTATATAATTAATAATATCTAATAATAAATAATATAATAATAATAATTATTATTATTCTTATAATAATAATAATAATAATAATAATAATAATAATAATTATTATTATTGTATTATATTATTATTATATTAATAATAATAATAATAATAATAATAATAATTATTATTATTATTATTATTATTAATAAATTAATAATTAATATAAATATTATACACTAAATAAATATTAATATTTATTTACCACTTGATATCTTAATAATAATAATAATTTTTAAATAGTATACAAAATTATCATAAAAAATATTTTAATATTAATTAATTTATAAATATTTATATTTAATATTTTTAAGTGCACACGTCAATAAATAAACTGTCAAGATTGATTCAGGCTTGAATTAAGATCAGATGTTCGAGCTTCACTCACGAAGATTGACCGAGTCTTGAATCGAGCATGGAACGAACATTGGTGTCCAATGCTGAATCAACATTGAGTGACAGTGGTATAAAGACTGCTTCAACACTGGGTTACCCAGGCTGGGCGTTCAAGGCTCAATAAATCTTCAATCCATCGTCAGCATTGGTCTTTCGCGCCTGGGTTTTAATTTATTTATTTACATCATTCATTAATTTACAAAAATACGAAACGAAAAAATAAAATAATTACAAAAACTGAAAAATCATAAATCGTAAAATTGTTCGAAACTAATTAAAATTAACTAATTAAATTTCTCTCAAGATTTCACGAACTTATAATAATAATGTACAATATTTCGACTAGAGCACTTGACCAAAATGATAAAAGCTGTTTATTCCAATCGAGTTATAAATAGTCGATAAAAAATTCTTAATTGGTTTTCAAGTGTGATACACGTGCATTTGAAAAACAAAATTTCACGATAAAAATATTTTTCTTTGTAATTAATTATTTAATTTATTTTGAAATATTAATAATAGAATAAGCAATAAATAAATAATGGTAAATAAATATAACAGTCATAAATAAATACAGAATAAATTACTACAAAAAGATAATTTGACTGAAAATAATTTCAAAAAAAAAAAAGGAAAAATTAATTAAAAATTATTTATTAGAAATGAGTTAAAGAATGAAGAAAAAAAGTGTGGGGAATAGAGGGGAGAGTGAAACGCAATTTATTCGAGCCACAGTATTATGTCAAGCGAACGGAGTAGTGGAATTGACCTTCACCTTGGTATTTCAGCTTTATCGTTACCCGCATTAGTTATTTTGGGCAATGACAGTCCGGGGTCACAAAAACATTATGCACGAATGGTCCTAAAGAATATGACATGACGAAACCGAAAAAGAAAAGAACACACACACACATTTTTTGTTTTTTTATGCCTACTTATGTAATTTACTTAACTGCTCTTTATTATTACCGACAGATGCTATATTAATAAAAAATTTCATCTATCAATCTCTGACCCAAGTCACATGTGTACCATATAGTAAAAAAAGACGAAAAAAATAATTACTAAAAGTGTAGGTGTAATGGTTAATAAAAAAAAAGTCAAAGAAAAAAAAATAAAGAGCTAATTTAAACTTTGACTTTATTTACAAACCTGCCTCAAAAAGAAAATGATCTGGCCATTAAGGAAAAAGAAAACTAAGAGGGGCAAGTGCTTTTAATTTTCCGAACTGTCAATCACTATCATCGTCAGATTTTTTTAGTTCTTAATTTCTTTAACGTTGTATTTAGAAATTTTTTTTATAAATAGAATAAACCATTTTTTAATAAACATTTTTCAGTAAATATTTTTTTCAGGATTCGCACACAATAATTAATTTCTAAAAACGTAGTAAAAAGTAGCTATCGAAAAATTAAATTTGACGACTAAAAACAGTTTAGTCGATTGACAAAAATTTAATTCATTACTTTCCTGACTTTTTCCTGATTTCCATAAAAAATATATTTACTTTTTTCATCCTGGTAATAACTTCAATTTTAAATTTTTCTAAAATTCAATTATATTCCAATTTTTTAGATAGAATTCTTCAAAAACAAATAAATAAAAAAAAATAATTTTTAAAAGTTAAAAATAAAATACTTTAAAATGTAAAATTTATTTCAATTTTGGACAAAATTGACAATTAATTAAAAATTTAATTTAATCTTTTTATTAAATTATTGATTATTTCATTAAATTCAATTCTTAAAAATAATTTTATAAAAAATTTTTAAGAATAATTGTATTTTTTGAGAAATTTATTTAAAATTGTATTAAAAATAATTAAAATCCTGCGAAGAATTTTATTATTCATGATAATAATTAAGTTCTTGTAACGATTTTATTAAAATTTTTTTTAAATAATTGCATTCTTGTAAAAAATGTTACTATTTGTAAAAATAATTGAATTCATGCAAAGAATTTTATTGAAATATTTTTAAATAATTGAATTTTTTTTGAATTTATTACTAAAATGTTTGA